TGTAAATATGTATTTGATTTCAAAATTAGATATGTTTTGATATAAATTAGAGTTCTCTATGGGTTCTGTGCGAAACCCTATGAGGAACAATTATGAGTATGACTGTGTGAAATATGAACAAATGACATCAGACATGATGTGAATGAGAATGTGCTAATGTGAACACTATGACTATGAGGATGTGAAATGTGATGAGATGAGATAAGCTATCACTATGAGAATGTGAAATGTGCTAAGACATGAAATTCCATGACAAGTGAAGTGATGAGTCCATGAGTTTGTGAACGTGTGACATGCATCATATGCATATATAAGCTAACAAGGTGTACCTTAGGGTCACTTATCATGTAACAAGGTGTACCTTAGGGTCACCAACGATGTAACAAGCTAACAAGATGTACCTTAGGGTCACTCATGATGTAACAAGGTGTACCTTAGGCTCACCAAACGATGTAACAAGCTAACAAGGTGTACCTTAGGGTCAGTCATGATGTAACAAGGTGTACCTGAGGGTCACCAATGATGTAACAAGCTAACAAGGTGTACCTGAGGGTCACCAATGATGAAACAAGCTAACAAGGGGTACCTTAGGGTCGCTCATGATGTAACAAGCTAACAAGATGTACCTTAGGGTCACTCATGATGTAACAAGGTGTACCTTAGGGTCGAGTCCATGACATTCTTGCATGATGAATGACTGTGTATGTATTATATGTAAAAATTGAATTTTCACCTGATTAATGAGTTGTTATGACTATGTTTGTATGATTTGCGTGTGTGCTGCTTAACTATTATTTCTACACCTAGAACCGAGTGAGATGTTTCTCACTCCCTTGTTGTTTTTTGTATATGTTTAAATTGTGTTACAGGTGATCATCAGCACGAGGATGTTGGTGACGAGGCTTAGGCTTCAGTTGGGCATGCTCTAATAGGATATGTGACATTGGGGCATAGCTAGGCTTTCATGTTGACGCTTTTCACAATCTGAGAAGAGTTTGGGTGCTTACGATTAACGTTCTCACAGAATCAGAATCAGAACAACAAAAGGGATTTCTTTGGAGAACGATGACAAGGGGCTTTCTTCACAGAGCATGAAGGCTTTCTCAGAGATGGCGCGCGAGGGCTTTTAGAAAAACAAAAAGGCTTTCTTTGGAGAACAATGAGAATGGGCTTTCTTCAGAAAGGAAGAAGGCTTTCTCCGCGCGTGAGGGCTTTCTTCAGAGATGGCACACGCAAGTGAGGGAAACCTATTCATTTCTACATCGGTCATAAAGTGAACTGATGTACATATATTTATGTTTTTTCTCTTATTTACAATATTTTCACCGTGTTTTCAGTACTCATCGGTCCCCCAATAAACCGATGTAGAATGCTTAATATTTACATCGTTTCCCCTTAAAATTGATGTAAATTTGTTTTACATTTTTTAAATAATTACAAAAATTCCACCGCATTTTATTTCTACATCAATTTTACTAAAATCGATGTAAAATTGGCGATGTTGATCAATCATTTTCTAGTAGTGTAACACTAGTCAATCTTTTCTTAGGAGTTTGGAAACTACTCTCACACTTACTATCTCACACAAAGACAACACTCTTCCTAGTCAATGTAGTCAAAGGTAATGCTATCTTAGAATTTTCCTCAATAAATCTCCAATAATAATAAGCTAACCTAAGAAAACTCCAAACCTCACTAACTAACTTTGGTACCTCTCCCTAAAGCACAACTTCTACCTAAGATAGATCTCCGTTATGCCTCTGTTAGAAATTACAAGACCTAGAAAACTTACCTCATACAATCAAAAATCATACTCAGATAACTTAGCATAAAGTTGTCTTGGATATATCTTCACCCTCATCTCCAATATGATGATATCACACCCTAAGGTGAATCTTAATAAACACACAAACACCCATTATAATTGATCCATAAGGTCATCTATCCTTATATCAACATACATGCATATCAAATCATATTAGAATACCTATTTTAACATTCGTATATACCAACCCCAAGCATATATAAATCAATCCCCATTTACACCATATAGCATGTACATGAACCAACTTTACCACATAGCATCATACAACCTTAAGCAACCTTTCAATCCACATGAAAACATTGATGGAGGACCATCTTTGAAGAACCATGTGGGCCCCATCACAAGGTCCATGGCTAGGAGAGTAGAAGAGGAGGAGGGAGCTCACCCACCAAAGGATACCCTCCTCATGATCATAAAGTACTAAATACTCTCTTAAGTCTCATTAGTATAGGGTTTATTTTATTTTCCTATTTTGCCCTTGTATTTTGGGGCACTTAGAAGCTTTATTTTCCTAGGTGATGTAGGTGTTGGGCGTGACAAAAATGGACCTTTTGGGCTAAGGAGAAGCATTGGCCCAAGTGGAAGGGCACCTAGGTTGCATTCTCCTATTATGCACCTAGGTGTAGCCTAGCTTAACCCAAAAAGGTACCATTTTTAGGGTAAGGTGGGCAACACATTTAGGGTTTATTTCGGTGCCATTTGGCATGCATTTCCTTCCCATTTGGGGAAGTGTCGCCACCGGCCCGAAACGGGCTTTCGGCATTCTCGAAAGTTAGTATTCCTTTCAAGAAATAAAGAGAAACAAGACTCCATGAAAGTTCTATACCAAAACTCTATTGTCGCTCCTACCTACAGTCACCTCCTATGAAAGGTCATAGATACATCAAGCAAGTGGAGGACTAACTCTATAGTCAAATCACCTGGGCCTCTCTAAGGGGAAACCTCCTTCTACTTCTCTGTGTGTGAATCACGAACTCAGGGCATGCCCGGGCCTTTGAGCTACATTAAAAGGGCACGTGTAAATCAAAAAATATTATCTTTAATGCCATATATCTTTCTACTTCAATTCTTTTCCTCCTTCAAAATTCTGAGCCTTGTCAACAAACCTTAAATGAACAAGCACATTTGAAACAGGGATGTCATTAAAAACAATGGCTTAATACTCGATAAGGAACACATAAAGATCAATCAATTTTGGCATGACTTGTGGATAAAGGTCCAAACGAAATCAATGCAAAGGGCATCCCCCTTTAATGAAGGAATGAAAAATGATCACAAATGTTGTAGAAAAATAAAAAGCCTGGCAGGAAACCCACTAAGGGGGCTGTGCAAAAATTAGGGCAAGGTCCGCAAGGAGACTCACAAACAAAAAGGGTAACTTAGGCAAAAGCGAGGATCAAAAAGAAAATGTCCGCTAGGAAACACATCCCAAGCTACCTAGGCAAAAGTTAGGACAAAGCAGCATCCTGAACTGAAAACCGAGAGGCAGTTTGGGAAGATCTTTTAACCAATAAGCAATCTCAAGTCATCCTTTAACTTTGAAAGGAATACTAAGCTAACGTGGAAAATGCTTTCCTTACTTTGAATGTGCTTGTTCATCATCCTAAACACTAGCCAACCGTTCTTCTAAAAACAACTCAAAAAAATCCTTTTGAAACAAATCTTTTGAAAAATAAAAATATCCCTTTCTTTCTCTTTTCTTGACCGACATGGCATTAAGATAGTATTGAGAGATACACAAAATATGCACAGTAAACACTCACAGGGAAAAGTTGGAGGTGTCCTAGAACAAAGTCTAGGTACACCTAATCTAACGGCTAACATATCACATCCGGTACAAGCAAGAGGGATGAACTACACAAACCTCAGGTTCAAGAAGCAACACTGAATTCGACAGGGCTAAAGGCTAACATTCCATGTTAGTGATCAATGCGCATAGATTAATTTCTTGAAAGTAAAAATAAATTTGCATTTTAAGCATTAGCATAGAAGCATCATTGCATAGCATGCATACGGAACAAGCATGCACAAAAGGGTATAAGTTCATTTATAAATAAAAAATAAATAAAAAATCCAATCCATTCCTGCCTTGCATTTTCATGTGCATCCATGCATCCATACTCACCATGGGGCATCCACAACCATCCATCAACAATCAAACAATCAATCATCAATGAATCAAAAGGACTCCGCAATAGATGCTTGGAGAGGCATCACAATACTCACATGGTAGGGGCAGTACTAGAACCCATGTCACCCATTTACTCCTTTGCCCACCATCCCAAGGGCTCCACCTACCCGCAATCCTCGTCTTCATCAGACGTTCTCCCAAAGAAAAGGGGCAATCACATCATCAGCATCAGCAGGCAGCCTGGAGAGGTCAGGCATAATAATACTCAGCATTTACTCCTTTGCCCACCATCACAAGGGCACCACCTACTAGAAATCCTCGTCTTCATCAAACGTCCTCCCAAAGTAAAGGGGAAATCTCATCATCAACATCAACAGGCAGCCTGGAGAGGCCAGGCATAATAATACTCAGCATTTACTCTTTTGCCCACCATCATAAGGGCACCATGTACACGCAATCCTCGTCTTCATCAGACATCCTCCCAAAGAAAAGGGGCAATCACATCATCAGCATCAGCAGGCAGCCTGGAGAAGCCAGACATAATAATACTCAGCATTCAGCAGGCAGCCTGGAGAGGCCAGGCATAATAATACTTAGCATTCAGCAGGTAGCTTGGAGAAGCCAGGCATAACAATACTCACCATTCAGCAGGCAGCCTGGAGAGGCTAGGCATAACAATACTCACCATTCAGCAGGCAACCTGGAGAGGCCAGGCATAATAATACTTAACATTCAACAGGCAGCCTAGAGAGGCTAGGCATAATAATACTCACCATTCAGCAGGCAGCCTGGAGAGGCTAGACATAATAATACTCAACATTCAGCAGGCAGCCTAGAAAGGCCAGCCATAATAATATTCATCGTTCCTAATTTTACTAAGCTAGATTGCTTATATAGTGATGACCTTATACCTATCTACCAAACATACAATTAATGCACAGTTTGATCCTAACAGGGACTATTTGATCCTAACAGGTGGATGGGGTCTTTTTTTTTTATCAATAAATTCTAATTATATAGGTAATGAGAATCAAAATGAAATAAAAGTTGAACAAATTTTAGTGAAACAGGCCAAATTTCAGACTGATTTGATCTGAAATCTATACAATACACAATCCTCAAATTTAGAGCAAGGTGCAAGAGGATGTATGTTCTACTAGGCAGTAGACAATAAAAAATAAATGTAGAGATAGTGCTGCATGAATGTTAAAAATAATGATATAATGCACAGTTTAAACCAAAAAATGACATGTACTGAAATAATAAAAGGTTTACAAAGTATGCAGCTTGGATGAGACTGAGAAGCAAACGAGTTTCATTTATATTTTGGTAACCCATGCAAGCTGTCAATACAAGCTGACTGCTATCAAATGTGGACCCAGCCAATGACTGAAGTAAAGTAACTGCATCTCCAGCATCCTTTGTTGTTACCAATGCTGGACCTACAAGACACAGTGAAGTGAAATTAAGTTCTGTGAAGATATGTAAGGCTAAAGCATTGCTAGTTTACTTTTTCAAGAACTACTATATATAGTTTGAAACAAAAAATAGTTTTAGCCAGTACCATATAGCTCCATTAAAGCAATTGCAGTTCTAAAGAGCATGACTCGGTTTCCTTCAAAAAGGAGCACATCCCACACTTGAAGAACTGAAATCCAAATAATTACAATAGATCAGAAGAAAGCTCCAACAATAGTGTACAGATGCACATTTGACATTGGCACTTTTGTGAAATAAGTCTAAGCTATTCAACTCAATAGATAGAACATTAAACCTGACCACTTTCCCAAGGAAGCATGTTCACAAAAATGGACAGGAACCATGGTCCAGTAACCCATGCTACCTGCACTCCCAGATAATCAAGATGATTGGCTGCAAAAGAAGTACACACAAGAATATAGCAAGAAATGGAACATTAGAAACAAAATTCACTTGGTGAGTTCAAAGGCAAAAATGAATTAAAATAGTTTACAAACCCAATTTGGGAAACCTCTCCCTCACCAGCTCCTCAAAAACAAGTTGATCCACCTGATACAATGAAAATGTATTTGAATGAATATGAATACAGGTCAAAATGTCTATAATAGTTATTCATGTACATTGTTTAATTTAATCAAGAATATAGAGTAAAGAAACAATACCTGGGATTCTATCATTTCCTCTGAATAATAGCCATCAAAATAATCATCTAAAATGCCCATCAAGGTCCTGGGGAAAACCATAGTTAATGATGAAACAAAAAATTAGTTCACATTTGTAATGTAAAGCAGCTAAAGATGGTGCATAAGCATAAAGCAAGCAGTGAGGCATTCCTTCAGCGCAACAGTGCTCATCAAACACCGCACCAGTATAATAATGATGCTATATTCATAATTTATTTTGAAAAGTGCACATTCTGTGCATATATATACTCTAGAAATCTACTCATGTAGTTATCTAAGGACATACCAAAAGACATTTTCTTCAGGCATCAAAAGTAGCAATAAGCCAACAAAAAAATTCATGGCCTGCAATATAAATTATTTCAACAAGCTAAATCAGTGGGTTATAGATGCCATCAACAAATATCATGTCATGTGAGAAGGCATATAATAAATGACAGACATAAATTATTTAGTTATCCATTTTATAGGACAGATTAATACTATTCATGAATCATACACATCACACGTGTGAAGGGTGCCTGTGTGGCATTAGAGCCCTTTGTTGCTTCAGTTGAGCATGCTATCTTAAAACAGCTCTTGCCTGGTTGAGGTAAGCCACAATGTAGTTCCTAATTCTTCTAATCAATTACAACTTCAACAAAATGTTTGAGAGGATGTGCATACACAAACCTTCTATTAGACTTGGTACGCATTTCAAGCCCAAAGGTCTTTCACAATAGAAGGTCTGTTTTGGATATCAAGTATACTATTTCTATACCACAATGACGCAGATCATCTTCAATTCATTCTCGTTTGCATTAGAGAAACAATCACTGCCACAATAATGAAAAATAAAATCAAACATGGTGCCAAGAAAAGCCATCTGGAGAACTAAGATAAACATAAATTTATTTTCACCAAACTAAACAGTTAACCAAGAAGAATTTAAACTCACCTAAACCCCACTGTCTTAAGCAACATCTTGAGAAGCTCAATGGCCGAGCACTATTTCTTATAACTATCAGAAAGCACTCTCAGATTCGTTCCTATTTTACAAATGCATTCTCTCAACACCTTAGAGAAGTCCTCAACAGAAGCTTCTATGGCACCTTCAAACCCCACGCCCAACAAGATCCGTGCCACCGCCTTCTGCGCCAGCTTCGCCGCTTGCTCAGGCCCAACCACTCTCCCACTCCCCTCACTTCCAAGTTTCCCACGGCCCAAGCTTATCAATAACCTGATTGTACCAGGTTTCAGGGAGTTTAGATTCGACGTACGTGGATTCGGTGGCTTTGGATAGATTCTGCATGAAATTAGAAGAAAAAGAAAAGAATGTAAGTGAAATAGGAAGAAGCAAATTAACGGTGAAAGCGAAAGCGAAAGCAAAGAGGTAGGGTTTTTGTTTGGAGGACCTTAGAGTCATGTTACGCGTTGTTGAGGGTGAAATAGACGTCGTCGGCATGAAATTGAAGGTAGGTAGGGTTGAGGAGGTGGAAAAAGGGGTTAGGGTTGAGGGAGAGAGAGGCGAAGGCTTTGTCGAAGAGGAGGGCGCAGACACGGAATTGGAGAGGGATGTGAGTGGTGGAGCTGATGAAGGAGTCCCAGGCGGAGGGGGAAGAGAGGAAGGGGGCGAAGTTCGCGTAGGTGGAGTCGCCCAGCCATGTTCACCACACGCCGTACGGAGTTTGGGTGATTGTTGATGATGAGTCTTTGGGCGTGAGAATATTAGGGTTTTTATTTCTACATCGGTCATAAACAAAACCGATGTAGAACAACCTTCGAATTTTATTTTTACATCGTTTCTCTTCTCAACCGATGTAAATATATTTATATTTTCTATTTATTTACAAGTTTGCCACCGTGTTTATGATTTACATCGGTTTTACTAGAACCGATGTAAATATGGCGATGTTAAATAATGTTTTTGTAGTAGTGGATGGAACGGGGCACGCTCAATGGTGAAACTAGTTATTATCCAAGAGGGCAAAGGGAAAGGAATGCCAAAATTAACTATCAAGACGTCGGGCCTTTCCCCAAACAACAAGGATGAAGCCGTGTCGGGGGTCCGCGAGAATCCAAGCATCATTATCAAAGGACCCATTCAACATTACTAAGGAGGACACAAATCTCAAACGTGTAGGGCAAGTGGATAGAATTTTCTTATCAAGATAATTTCAATATGGAAAAGGAGTATCATGTTTGAAGACATTGTTTGTCGAAAGCCCGATAGGACGAAAACCTACAAAGGGCGTCCTAGGCAAAAATTAGGGTTCAAAGAAAAAAAAATAAAGAAAATCAAAAGTCCCGATAGGATAGGTCCTATGCAAAAGTTAGGGATACAAAAAAGGTAATGTCTTCCAGAGTTGAAAGTCGAAAGTTAGTATTCCTTTCAAGAAATAAAGAGAAACAAGACTCCATGAAAGTTCTATACCAAAACTCTATTGTCGCTCCTACCTACAGTCACCTCCTATGAAAGGTCATAGATACATCAAGCAAGTGGAGGACTAACTCTATAGTCAAATCACCTGGGCCTCTCTAAGGGGAAACCTCCTTCTACTTCTCTGTGTGTGAATCACGAACTCAGGGCATGCCCGGGCCTTTGAGCTACATTAAAAGGGCACGTGTAAATCAAAAAATATTATCTTTAATGCCATATATCTTTCTACTTCAATTCTTTTCCTCCTTCAAAATTCTGAGCCTTGTCAACAAACCTTAAATGAACAAGCACATTTGAAACAGGGATGTCATTAAAAACAATGGCTTAATACTCGATAAGGAACACATAAAGATCAATCAATTTTGGATCCCATAGGATTTTGTTGAGAAGCATGGTATAAACCACAAAGTCCTTGCAATCTTTCAAGCACCCTCTCTAGTGCTGATAAAGTATCTGTGGCAAGTTGAAGGCTCCTCCAGTCATCATCTGAAACAAGCAGAATTTGTGCATGTCTGAGATGCTATCCTTGGTGCCTACCTTATGAAGTTTGTTGTAGACAACGGGTCCTTCTTCACCCTCCTTGTGAATGGTCTTGGTGACATTGGTTAGACCACCAGTTAGACATCAACTCCTTGTGATAGAGGAGGCTTATTCTTTCACATCCAATGGCTTGTGCGATAAAGGTAGGACAAATTCTGACCTTTACTCCGAGCACAATTCCCTTGAAGAATCCTTGAGAGACCCTCAAGGACTCGTAGAATATTTTTATCAAGCTAGGGTATACAACTTCCTTAATGTTGAAGTACCCGAGAATCCCACAGTCAGCTAGGTTCTCATAAATGAGTATTCCCCATTCGTTCATCTACCTGATATTGAAGTGATGCTCCAAGTATATGATTGGCTTTTCCTCCGTAGAGAAGGTATGAGTATAGGTGGTGGCTTCGCGCATTTCATCAGGAATTATGACAGGTGCGACTTCTCCAGCTTGTGCGGCCATTGTAGTGAGTAGGAAGGATTTGTGAGAAGAGAGTTAGGGTTTGAGAGAGAGAGAACTTGAGAGTTAAAGGTTTCAAAATTTTGAAGCGTAGATGGTATGTTAGTGGACGCGAGGAAGATGTAGGGTTTTAACAATGTTTTCCATTTTAATTTTCTATTATTGTTTGTATAACGTGGCCTTGATTTGTTTGTTCTTGTGCAGAGTGTTGTACAACTCACATTAAATTTAAGATAAAGGATATGTCTTTCAACTAAAAACCCCAAATGACAGTTTTGTCTTTTAATAATTTAATCATTTTATTCCTTTAAATGTGGAGAATGTTTGTCTCCAACTCTTCTGAGTTTATTTAAAGATGATTATTCAATGGGAATATGATAGAATAAATTTTCAGACGTAAGTGTAGTTTACACACTTCATCGGATGAAGAGTTTCAGATGCTATAATTTCTTACAACATTCTAAGGGATATTCAGATGTAGTGGTTTACTGCATTTGTTTTACTGCTACATTTCTGACTATACTAGACGATAAATGTATATGAATATTCTAGTGTATCAGATGTGATCTACTCTTATATCGTATAGAACATGCTTCATTTAAGTAGATAAAATGATACATGTTTTACCTGTTCCAATTTTTCGTCCTTTTTGCTTTTCAACTTCCCATTTTCCCTTCATTCTTCATGGATCGTATTCTACCCCTGCATTATTAGATGCTCAACCCATGGGGTTAAGCTCTGACACCAAATGAAGTTGCACGAAAAACACATAGAAAGGGGTTGAATATGTGTATATGTGTGAACAAAGGAATTTAAAAACCTTTTTCGCAAACAGTCTCTCTTTTGTCCAATAAAATAACATTAGTGAATGCTCAATAGAAAGTACCGAGGATTGGTTTAATAAAATAGTTTTGCATCTGGGAGTTTCATCGTCTGCTAAGAGAAAATACTACTTAAACAAAAAACGTTCTTTTAGGATAATCAGTTGAACAAGTATGGTTTTCATCTGAAGATAGTTTTAAAAGACGATAAGAAATAGACGAAGTTTTCAATATATTAAATCAATCAAATAAAGTGCGTCTAAAACTTTAAAGCGTAGAGAAAGTATTTTTATACTAGTTCACTCAAATTGAGCTATGTCCAGTCTCCTTCAAATGAAGGGTTCCAATAAATGTTTAATGAAATACAAGTATTATTTGTTCAGCCTCTTCAGGCTCGTAGTGAGTATTATAGACCACCTTGGTCACGACCACTCCTGGTCTCAAGTATTCTCAACCACTTCTGGTTCGTCAGCTTCACTCGCAGATGCTAGTATTCTTTACTCAACCATTTCTGGTTCCCAATGAGTATTATCAACCAACTTCTGGCCTGCCAGGTTCACTCACTTGCACTAGTATTCTTTGATCAGCCACTTCTGACTCCCAGTGAGTATTCTCGACCAACTCTTAGCCCATTGACTTCACTCATCAACACTAGTATTCTTTACTCAGCCACTTCTAGCTCATAGTGAGTATTCTTTGACAAACCTCTCCAGACTTTACAAGTATTCTTTTCCTAGCCTCTTCAGGCTTTACAGATATCAACTAGACAGGTTTGGTTTGAGTGTTTGTGTTACTCTCATAGAGAGGATACATAAGAATATACACTCACTAAGGTATGCAATCTTAGTCTTTACAACGATTGAGTGTTTGGTCTACTATCACAGAGAGGATACACAAATTGTACACTCACTAAGGTTTTGTTCCTAAGTTGCACATGTTTGGAACTCCTTAGTCTACAGAGATGAATACACTATGGTACATTTGACTCTATACGCTCTATCTCTGATTTTGTTGCTTTGTGGGCTTGATATCACCCTTCATCTATCTTCTCTAAAAAGCCAACCTTTCTAGGTTTGAAGTTATGACATATATATAGTCTTGTAAAATTTTC